CATGACCCATAAACATGTTCTTTCAGTAGTCTTAAAATTCTGTCACATTTCAGGAACAGTTCTACCAGCAGCAGTGCACACATGCAGACTTGTTACAGTAGTGAACTCCCTCAGAACAGAATGGCTAAGGACTAAAATTTGGTAAAGAATTTTGGTTAACTTAATAATAACAAAGTTTCAAGACAGTATAATCTAATTTACTTGGTCAGCATTCACTTTTCAATACATATGATGAAAAATTAAATACTCAATATTAAAATCTTTTGAATAAGCTTTTTTTAAAAAGTTCTATATGGGGAAAGCAATTCTCAATCTTAAAAAGCCCTTAAGTTCATCACTGAAGCTTTTGTGTATCTGCAAATGTAGTCTGATCTGAATATGTATCAAATTTAGGACACACTAGAAATTACTTTTCTTCAAGTACCTTACCTCAATGTGTCATGACTGATAAAAGCGGATTATGTAAAACAAACCAAAAACCCGGTTATTTCTTTTTCCTGGTTGTTCATATTCCAAATAAGTGTGAATTTAATGATGTACAGTATACAACTATAAACTATTATTCATTCCGTAACACTCCAGTAATGAAAAATATGTAGCATTCATATGAGCCTACCTCATATTTACTGATTTAAGTTTTGTTTTTCGTTCCTGAGCCAACCCTGTTAGCACCAAAAGCCATGAAAGGGTTTCTTCTATGAAAGGTTAGATATACCAGCCACTCAAATATAAAGCTTTCCACAGGGTGAAAGTAAAACCTAATAAAGACAGTCCTTGACCATCTCTGCATTTTCTGGACTATCTAGCTAACCATCAGATCAGATAAAGAGATGAGATCACATCCATGTTGAGGAGGGCTTCAGAATTTCATTTCTTGAAAGGGAACTATTGTACCTGGCTGGTGTGGCTCCATGGATTGAGTGCTGGCCTGAGAACCAAAGGGCCACCGGTTCCATTTCCAGTTTAGGGCATGTGCCTAGGTTGCCAGCCAGGTCCCCAGTAGGAGGTGTGTGACAGGCAACCACACATTGATATTCCTCTCTTCTTTCTCCTTCCCTTCCCCTCTCTAAAAATAATAAAATAAAGAAAGAAAGAAAGCGAACTATCATAAACAGAGTAGCAGACAGGCACACAAAGGCAGTCTCTAAATGCTGCACACTGTAAAAGGAAAACCCCAGGCCAAGCCAACTTTCCAGTTTTTCTATCTGCAAGAATGAGTGGCATTCAAATCATTCTTTATTTGACCTACGTAGTGTTAACACAAGTCACAGACTGGAAACTGCAAAGCCCTTCAAAAAAGCCCTTCCCAAAGTGACACACCTCTTTCCACTGTTTGACTCCTTTCCCCAACCAACCAAATTGTCTTTTTTGTAGTACCAGTCCTACTTTTTCTTAAAACCTCAGTTTGAAATCCAGTGATCTTGCTTCTTAAGCTATTACAACATTTTTTGACAGTACCACCTATTTACTTTGAAGCCTAGGCTAACTCATGTTATTAACAATCACACCTGGAGTTAGCACAACAATCAGTTGTAAATACCAGTATGTACCAAAAAAACACCAAATTGGGTGTGAGGTTATACTTTGGGTTAACTCATAGAGTTTCCTATGTTTTAGTTGAGGACCAAGTAAAATCAGGTTAAGAAACATATGGAGATTTTATCTGAACAAGTAATGTGATACTTTTCTTTGAAAAATTTTCAACAGCTTCACCAGTGAGTTTTGTATTGTTCACATTTTAAGGTTAGTGGAACAACTAACAAACAATAGATTACTTTGAAAATCTTTAAAATAAAGATTAAAATTTTAATTTAGTGATTTACATTATGCTCAATCCCATCAGCTCTGCTATGAAGTAAAAACCAGAAAAGTTCCTTTCACGAAATTAAGATCTTTTCTTGTAAATTGAAAAATCAAAAGAAAATCTTTTATTTCACATGAAATAATTTTAATCAGAATATGTATGTGAAAAGTTGCTTCCCTGGATTAGAGTGCAAGTGGGGAATAATGAAATCAAAAGATTATTTCCTAACATGAAAAATTATGACATTAAAATTTCATTGTCCATAAATAGTTTTATTAGAACACAGACCCATCCATTTATTTATGTATCACCCATGACTGCTTTTACACTACAACAGCAGGGTAGTTGCAACAAAGACTGTATGGCCTGAGAGCCTAAAATATTTACTGTCTGGCCTTATCAAAGTCAAATGAGCTGATTTTATTTCCTGTTTATTTACTTAATTTGAATACAAGAGTTGAATTATCTAAATATGTAAATTAACATAATAATGAGGCACCTCTTTTGGTCTATCATTAAACGACTATTTTTGAGGAACTGCAAGGCTGCAGTAGACAGGCACTTGACTAAGTTGCTGTTAGGATGTAAACAGGTTCATCTGTTCTGCAGAGCACTTTAGGAACAGGCATCAAGAGTCTCTGAAATCACTTTCACTGCACTAAAGAATTTGACCATAAGAATGTACCACAATTTATTCAACCATTTCCTATTGATAGCTATATGCATGGTTTCCAATGTTTTACTATTAGAAACAATGGCATACATTTTATGAATGCTGTATTTAAGATTTTTATATATTTAACATAAATCATCAATTGATGCTGAATCTATAGGAGTCACATTTTATGAGGAAGAGTATTTTATACAACCCCTGAGTCCCTAGGCTATAAATCTAAGGGTGGGCTTGCTGGGTCCTAGGTTATACACATCTTCAACTTACTAGATAGTGCGAAAAATGTTCTCTAAAACAATTTATTCTATGTCAACACTTTTCAGGCCTATTAATTGTTGCCAATTGATGGAAAAGAATGGTATCTCACTGTTATCTTCAACTGTATTTCCCTAATTACTAATAAGACTCAGTATCTTACTAATTGACCACTCACATTTCTTCTTTTATGAAATGACTGACCAGTTCCTTTGCCCAGTTTTCTAATAACATTTGTCTTCATTTGTTTCTTTGTTTCATTTCATTTAGTAGTTTAAAGGTGAATCCCCATTTTCTAAAAACAAACTTTTTCAAAGCTACCACCTTTCCTCTAAGGCTCCTTCCACCTTCTTAACTAGATCCAGCACTATTCCTCTCATACTGCTGCTCTCACAGGCCCCTCAATGGAAATAAATTTGTCTTATGGACCCCACTGCCACAATTATACCCTAAAGCTGTAATGATGCCATTCCCCTCCAGTAAATGCATATATAGTACCAAATAAGGGCCAGATCCATGGTGTGGCTTTCAAAGCCTTCATCATCTGTCCTCGACCAAAATTTTCAGCCTATTTCTCTCCTACATAAACTCCATACACCAAATATACTAGCCTGCTTGCCATTTCCCACAAACACCCCCTGGGCTTTCTGATTCTGTCTTGATCTAGGCTCTTCCTAGCACCCATCTGTTCATCAGAAGTTCTTTGAGGAAAGCTCTTCCTTATGATATAACAACAAATAAATGTAGGAAAGAATTGGGAAAAAATCACCATTTTACAACCATAAGAATGAAACTGATTCAAGCAAGAATCATCAGTTGATGATAAATTCAGAGGGAGATAATTTATAAGGAATAGGCTACTTCACATAATTTCAAAGTATCCCCCCAAAATGCTTATTAATTATAAGAGTAACTAGACTGAAAAATAAAAAACACCCTAGACAAGTAATCAAAATTAATATCAGCAAGGGGCAAATACCACATGCCTCCAGATTTGATGTCTTAAGAGAAACACAAATCGAGAACATTCTATAAAATAACTAACCTGTGTTATTTTTTTAAATGTCAGAATGTTAAATGTAAAAGACAAAGACTAAGGACCTTTTCCAAATTAAAAGGGATTAAGTATAATACATGATTCTTACTAAGAACTGGGGAAAACACTATAAAGGACATTATCGGCATACACCCCCACCACATCTGAGGAAGGCACTGATACATACACCTCAGGAGAGAACCTGATAAGACAAATGTGCAAAAACGGTGTCTAGAACACAGAACGTTAAAATTAACAAATTACCAATGTTCCGAGAAACCACCACCATGCACCTAACTTCAAGAACAAACACATGGATTTGGATCCTCGTGTGATTTTTCAGTAAAACTTCAGGTTTCTAATATTGAACAGAAAACTACTTAGATGGCAAAGGATATAATGTGAAAGTGTTAGTTACCTATAAAAAACCAGATTCTTAGTTTTTACAAACAATCTAAAAACACACTTACTGCCTTTTGAATTTTAAATACACCAATAGCTTTATTTAACAAACACTGAGTGACTACCATGTGCAGAACACTGTGCTAGATGCCATGAAGAATACAAAGATGAAAAAGACACAGTCCCTGCCCAAAAGGAGCATATAATCTAGTGGGGGAGAAAGACAAATACATAACTAGAATACAAGGCAGTAAACAACAGAGTGGACAAGTATTGAATGTGGCCTGAGTGTGATACTAATCAGCCTTAAGGTTACACTTCGAAACACGGGTGATGTAATGTTGGCTGCTTTGAAAATCCCCTCTCAAGATCGGCATCATGGGTGTTTATACGGTCCTGCCCAAGCAGCTGGAGTCAAGAGAGTAGGCCAGGTGGAAGGGCTGTTTGAAACACTGTCACACCTACATACATGGTGCTCACACGAGTATGTAGGGACAGCTACAAAAAGAACATATATATATCATCTGTCCTTTGGTTAATGGCTATAGCTACTGTTTTAAACAATATACTTTTATATAAAAAGGAATTTGTATAATCCCAGAAAAATCAATTTAAGGATTAATAGTAATTCAACCAAGAATCTTGCCATAGGCAATTTTCTTATTCACTAACTGTCTTTTCTCTAAATATCTATAAAGCTCTGTAGCAATTAAACAGACATCTAAGTATTGCTGAGTAAAAACCTCTTATGTTCAGCCTTCTGAAGGAAATAGTCACATACCTGATAACCTGATGTAATACTATTCTAATAGCAACACGAAGGCCTTAAAGAGATTTAAGGAAAATAATTTTTAATACTTTAATGCAAAGGGAATACACGCTGATTACATAAAATTCAATGTTCTTTGAAAATATCTCAGTGACAGCATTGATACCAGTTAAGGCCAGCAAAATTGAAGTGAGAAAAATATCACATGTATTGTCTTTCATTGGTTTCATATATCATTGCCTATGACCATGGCAACCCAATCTTTTCTTTGAAAATTCCATTCATTGGTATTCAGGAGCTTGGATGTGCTTTCAGCTCCTATGCTAGAAACAGCTGCTGACCACCTCCTCTTGGTAGTGCTGTCTTACACAAATGGCAAGTAGAAGCACATTTCTTGGCTGCTTTTCCTACTTCCTGAATTGGAGGGTTCACTGCTTAGCCTGTTTCCTTCAATGTGTCACTGTGATCCTGGGACCTCTGCTGCTTTCTCTCAAGGAAACGAGCCCGTGCATCTGATATGGATTTATCGTCGTTTCTCCTTTGCATTTTCTTTAGGACTTCTTTTGATATTCCATCTGAAAACATAACAAATTATCAAGGCAAACTTTAGTTTTGAGATTCAATATGATGAGAAATGTTAAGAGAAAGAGACACCCTGATTTTCAATGTTTAGATAAAATAAAATTCTGCCCTTTCAAAAGAAACGATGTAGTCTACAGTTAAAAAATAAGAGCATGGAGGCCTGAGTAGCCAGAAAAACGGCCCCATTCAGGCCTTTATACACTGCAGTTGTACACAGCAACAAAACACCTAGTGTCTAATGTCACTAAAAGACTCCTCTCTCATCGTGGGCAAAATTCCTCACCACTGCCTTTCTTAGTGATGTTAAATAGGATAATATAGTCTGCTCCATCAATCAGCCTCGGAAAGCTTTACTGAAATGAAAAGCTTTTTGTGTGTGTGAGCTAATAATTAAGCTTTCTGTCCTAGATTAGTACCACAACTGTTTATGCCTCCCAATTAGGGACTTAACAGTTCATGAAAAAAAGAAGTTCTGAGATAATAATTTACAAAATTTTATAAACCAAATCAAAATAGTAAAGTACTACTGGGAAGCAGTATGCCATAATAATTAACAGTACAGGTGACAGAATCAGGTTTTTGGATTCAGAATCCAGATTCACCAGTTAGGAGCTATGGGATTTTCAGCAAATTATTGTACACTGCTAGGTACTCCTTCATAGATAAAGTAGGGATATGTACTTACCTTGTAAGGTTATTGTGAAAATTCAATGGGGTAATGCAAGATTTTAGCATATGGTCAAAGCTCAATATATGTTCTTGTTAATAATGTGGGATAGCCCTCAGTTGATTGAGCACGAGCTGCAAACTAAGGTGTCGCAGGTTCAATTCCCAGCCAGGGTACATGCCTGGGTTGCAGGCCATGACCCCCAGCAACCACACATTGATGTTTCTCTCTCTCTATCTCCCTCCCTTCCCTCTCTAAAAATAAATAAATAAAATCTTAAAAAAAATAATGTGGGATAGAGGGGTTAAGAAAAACAAGATTAACTGGAAGGAAAGAAGGAAGTCAAAAATACTAAGTCTGAGACTCATAATTAAGCCTTTGCTTTCTGAATAGATAGAGCCAGAATCTAAACACTGTAGCAGTATCTCTGTAATTACATGAGAATTTGGTCATATATGCTTCCTGGACTTATATCACTAGAACAAGTGATACACTCACCTTTTAGATGTTTTACATTTTCCTTATTTGTCCATCTCCTTCTTGCATCTTCTCTTGCTTCACGTCGGGCCACACTGCTCAAATCATGTGCATTAAATTCATGCAACTTCGGTAACAAGTCTCTCACCCATTCATAACGAATTGGACACACAATTCTTGCGTAGACTTTGGTGGTAACTAATACCTCATGGAAAATGATCCATTCAAGTTTGGTTTCCTGTTCATGAAGCTAAATAAAAGAATTCATTTAAGGATGATAACTCAATAAAATGCCTTATCCCACATTAGATCAACCGAACACTATTAGCCCAAACTTTTCTGAATCAATCCCTATATGCTTCAAACAGGAGGCATAGACCAACTCAATACCTTTACAACTTATATAATAAATTTAACCTCAAAGCAAAAAGTAGAAGACATTTGGATATTACTTATTCCCATACTGTTACAAATTTCTTCTCTTTATTAAAAATAAGGTACTTACTGCTGAGGAAGGATGAATGTGAACTGGGCTTCCACGCCCATCCATTGTGCAAAACGTTCTTCCAACAGATCTAAAAACCAGAAAACCAAAGGAGAAACACAGTAACAGTAAAACAAAGAAGTACGTACAGCACTAAGTCAAACAATAAACAATTATAATATGTTCTGCTACAAAGAGCACTATAAACAAAGGTTTAAATTTATTCCACTGTCAGTATAACTTCTCTACCAATTCATCTCAAACTAATGATACAACTTAAACAGTCATTTATTTAAGTATAAACACTTTTGGTGAGTAAGTAGTAAAATTAACAACACTGTATTTGTTTCCAATACTTTCCAAAATACTTTCAAGCTAAAGGCTCAAAACAACCTATCAGTTTTGAGAGCTAGGTACTTCAAGGTCAAAAGTAAGATGTCAAAAAAATTGGCTAGCCTCTTAAGGTCAGAGCTAATGTGTGGTAAAAGCCCCAATCACAGGTCCTCTGACTTCAACACAGTGTTCTTTATATTCTATCTTTTTTCCAAAGGTATTAATGGTTTTTACTATTCTAAAATCTGATGATTAGAACATGTCATGAATTTTTCTAATTCATGTTCTTAATTTCAAATTCTCATCCTCATCTAGACTTCCCTACACAAATATTATTCCAAAAAAGTTGTCAAAATAATAGCCCCAGTTCGATTGTGACCACAATCTATTTCCTATGGCACTCTCTATATATTTCTATTATAACACAGATTAGACAGTGTTATTTGTTTATATATCTGTCTAGTACAGTATATATTTGTACAGCACAAAAATATTTTTTATTTGAACCATTTGAGAGTTAGTTGCCAACCTTATGCCCTATCATTCCAAATATGTGAGTGTGCATTTCCTATAATCAAGGACATTCTTCTACATAACCATAATCATCCAATAAAACCAGGGAATTAACACTGACATATCACTGACATTAATCCTTAAATGTTAGTAATATATCAGTTTTGTCAAATGTCCTAGTAAAGGTCCAGTTCAAAAATCATGTATTTGCCTTTACTTTTCATGTCTCCTTAGTCTGCTTCATTCTGGAATACTTCCCCAGTCTTTCTTTGACCCCCAAGAGCCTGACACCTTTAAAGATCATAGGCTAATTATATTGTAGTATGTCCATCAATGTGAGTTTGTCTGTTTCAGGATAATTAGATTCACATTATGCATCTTTGGCAGAAATATCACAGAAGTGATGCTGTGTTTTCATGATATGCTATCGGAAAAAAATAACTTTGATTTGTTTCGTAACTATTAATAAATGTTTACTTTGTTTGATTTAGCCAGCATCTCCCTGGCTTTTCCACTGAGAAGATACTTTTCCCTTTGTAATTAACAAGAATTTTATAGGGGGAATAAATGGTAATGGAAGAAGTCTCGGGAACACACACTACAATATAAAGATGATGTATTATAGAATTGTACACCTAAAACCTATATAATTTTTTTAGCCTCTCCCAAGTACATGTTTTCACTGCTTTGAGAGAGAGAGGAAGGGAGAGAGAGAGAAACATCAATGCAAGAGAGAAGCATAGATCAGTTGCCTCCTATAAATGTGTGGACTGGGAATTGAACATGCAACTTTTCAGTTACAGGATGATGCTCCAACTGAGCCACACAGGCCAGGGCTGAAACCTACAAAATTTTTATTAACCAATATCACTCCACTGAATTTTTTTAATTCAATTTAGAAAAATTTAGAGAGATATGCTCCATGATGTAAATAACTCCATTTGTCATTAAACTTTTAATTCACTCAGTTACTAATTTATATGAGTACAGACACATAGCTTCATATTTTATTCAGTGGGTTATATACTCCATTACTATCATTTATTTTGATGTTCAAAATGTCCCATATTTGATCAGCTGGAGCCTATTCAGGCTGACATGGCCACAACCTTCACTGATCACTTCTTTGCTTGCTGGAAAAATAAGATGTTCTGGACTCATTTGGTACTTTCCCAGCCCTATTTCTCCAAAGAACTGTGAGTCCTTCATGTAGCAGATGATTTTTCCAAGTCAAGATATGGGCGTTATCATGGTTCCCAGTACATCTTAGAGTTGGGATATGTATGTATATAAATGTTTATATACATAATGTTTTTTATATATACACTCAGTAACATCTGTTTTTATTTCCACATCCATCTATCCTTCCATCTATCAAAAAACGTAAGTTCACAGTAACTCCCTAACGTTCTAATCCGACACCACAGAGCTAATTCTTGTGTTCTCCCTTTCAGTATTTCCAACTCCCTTCACTATTATCCTGAATATATTAACTATGTGATCAATTCCTCCATATATAATGAATCTCTATCACCAACACTGTTACCCCTTTCCTTGCACAGATGCCCTCTTCATTCTTGACCCTCAATACTGAACAACTTCCATGTGGGTGCTGCTTTCCCCACCCTGCTCAAGCCCTGACACCCAAGCCAGCCTACCCTTCGGGGATGCCATCCTCAACCTTTAGGCCTTCCCACTCCACACAGAGCCACCCCTCTGCAAGACAAGCCTTGTTACTCAATGTAGACACTGACACCCAGGCTGGAAAGCTGTCCTTCAGACTCCCCTCCTGCCCTACTTGAGCAGCCATATCCCACTCTGAGGTCTGCACAAGTCACAATTATGAAAAGGGTCCCTGTAATAGATATCATCACAGCCAAAGAGCTGTAAGCAAACCACCAATCTTTAATATTAAGTAGTTCAATTCTATAGTCAAATACAGTAGTATTTCTTTATCTGTCTCTGAAGCTCACATGCCTTACCTTCGAGCTACATTTTTAAAATAGCCTGCACAAAGACATCTTCGCAGTACTTCGTGTTTAGGGCCCTCAAAGGTCTCTCTTGGGAAATCACTTTGCTATGGAAAAAATACATATACAGTGGTAAATCTCACACAACAATTTAAAACATTCTTTTATTTTGAAAAGTCCACATTTCTAAAGATTCTGTGTCTGGCCAATATGGAATAAAAGGAACCAGATTTACCCTTCTGCTTCAAACACTCAAAAAAATGACAAAACTTATGAAATAATGATTTCCAAAATATTGTATGGACATCAAGCAATAAGGGATGATGATCTTTAGGAAATAAAGGAAATAAATGAAGAAAAACCCACAACTGCCCCGGCTTAATCAGCCTTGAAAGAGATTTTGGATCAAGGTACAGAGAAGGTAAAACCCAAGTTGAATCTAGAGAACTCGCTGAGTTAGAGAAAGAGCTGAGAGCCCAGGGAGACCTAAATGACTCGAGTTCACAGGAGTTCAGGAGAGAAGAGAACTGCATCCACAGAGAGATTTGGACTCAGCAGAGTATGACTAGCACAGGAATGTGAGGAGACTACCCCGGGCCGGGTAAAGGACCTCCTGGAAGGACCAGAGATTACTGTGCTCGGTGCTCACACAGGGTTAGGAATGGCGCCTGTGACTACAAGCCAGGCTAGAACATTTCATCATTTATATGGTTTTGGTACTCAGAGGATCTTGCCCAAATGCTACTCAAGAAAAAAAGCCATTATAGCAATTACCTGTTTAAGCTTCCTGATCAGTTCTCGAAGTTGAGCTTCAACACGAAACGCAGAAAATAAGCACCTCCAATGAATCCAATGTTTTTGGCACCAGGACGCTGGAGCTCCACTGTAAAACAAAAATACTGGTGTCCTGAAAACATCTTCTGCAAGTGAAAGAGTCTCACATCCTCATTTCTGTTACAAAACTAGAAAATAAAAAGCAACTGGCAGCTGTTTTATGAGACCCATCCTATTACTGAAAAAGCACTTCAAGGAATTTGAAGAAAACAAATTATAATATGGGTGCCTCTGAGTGAATTAAAAAATTATTTGTAAATGGGTTTTTTATGCACATATGCTTTAACAAAATATCCAATCATTTTCTCATCTAAGCTACCTATATAAAACCAAAATTCTCTGAGGTCATTTTCAGAAAAGGTTCTGGGAGAGAAGAAAGAACTATTATATAATAAATGCCTACTAGGTAACAGTCACCTGACATAGATAAACCTCATTAATGTTCACAAAAATACCTTAAGGTCAATATCATCCCCACCGAACCTAACTGTCTAAAATCATACAATATGTACATATTGGAGCTATATTTCAAAGTGACAATTTCCAGTACATACAACTCACATACCTTGATTTGCACTGCTCAAAAATGACAGCTAACGTTGCAAAGTCGTTAAATCCTCCAGCTTTAGCTGCCAATTCTCGATGTCTCTGCTCTGCTTCCTTCTGGTACTCTGGATCAACTAAAATGACAGTGGCAGAGGCAGTTTAGTCCTACTTTACACCCAGTGCCTACATTCACTTTGTTTACTCAAGCTCATTAAAATTTCTCTCACCCTCTGGGGTAGAATAAGGTGGAACTATATTAACTTTTTTTTTCAGGAGGGGGGTTCTAATTACTCCCACAACTCCTTTTCTTCTTTTAACCACGCTTCAGAGATTTTGTAAGAATACAAACATTACTTCTCCCAATCCATGTGCCTTTACAATAGTATTTAATACTTATTTTTAATTCATTTTTATCATAAGAGTAAACCCTGCTCAGAGTAAAGAAATTACATAAAAATTCAATGTTCTCTACTTTGTCACATTTATCATAAACCAATCCTCAAGTTAACCATTGCTAATTATTTATTTTTCTTTTTAAAAAGACTTATTTATTTTTAGAGAAAGAGGAAGAGGGGGAGGAAGAAAGGGAGAGAAACATCAATGTGTGCTTGCCTCTCATACGCCCCCCACACTGGGGACCTGGCCCACAACCCAGGCATGTGCCCTTACTGGGAATTGAACCAGCAACCCTTTGGTTCACAGGCCTGTACTCAATCCACTGAACCACACCAGCTAGGGCACCATTGTTAATTATTTAAAAAATTAACTGTTAATTATTTAGTTAATTATTTATTGTTAAATATTTAGTGTATGTCCTCCAAGATATTTTCTATGTATCTGTAAGGATACATATATAATAATTTATTTTAACATAAATAGGGTATATATATGTTCTGAAACTTTATTTAAGAGCAACTTCATGTCAGTATAGATAGAATTATTCATTCTCAAAAACAGCTATATTGTAATCCTGACCAGTGTGGCTCAGTTGGTCAGGCATCGTCTGACAAAGTGAAAGGTCTCAAGTTCTTTTCCCAGTCAGGGCACTAGCCTGGATTGTAGGCTAAGTCCCTAGTAAGGGTGCATGCAAGAAGCAACCAATTGATGGTTCTCCCACACATGGCTGTTTTTCTCCCTCTCTTTCTCCCTTCCTTGTCAGGAGCTGACCAACAGCTGACCTTTGACACAGTCAGGTTGGATGAGACGCATCTGCACAGCAGAGGCGACTGTGCCTGGATCTCCTGTCTGTCTCCTCCTGTATGCCTGTCCCTGCTAGCAGTAGGTGGTGGGATACCTGTGTGTTATAACAAAAAATCTGCACAATGCCTCTGATTCTGCATGAAATGACTTGCTGACTACAGAATAGAGACCCCTAGCAACCCTAATGTTGCCTGCTTCCCCTACCTGGGAAGTTAAGGACAAAATTAAACTATGGGCAGACAAACTGCCAGAATGCTGAAGGAAGCTGTTGCTAGGAATGTTTCTTAGGGAGTCACCACTTGAAAGCTTAAGATTTATTAGAGCCACTACCCCTCCCATACCCTGGACAGGAGTGTATAGAAGCAAGGAGTTCTAGTTGAGAATAATAACCTCAATACATGGAAACGAACATAAAACATGCCCCCCCCCCAAGATGTATAAATCAAAAAACCTAGGCAAAAAAACCAGTTACCTAATCGAGATAAATTTAACCTTAATGGATAATAGCTGATTTTTATATATCTATAAATCACCCCTTGCACCCTTTTAATTTAGATCAATCCCTAGAATCTTAATAGACACCTAGTTACTAATTGGCACCTGAAAGTTTGTGCCCATATAGCTTCATTGGCTATCTGATTAATGACCCTCTTTGTCAAAATAACCTTTGTTTAATATGGTTGATCTGTGTGACCTCCTGTACTTTTCGGTTATTTCTTTAATATGATTGATCTGTAAAAACCTTCTGTGTTTTTAGAAATTATTTCTGTGGTAACCGTTTCTGTTTTAATAATCACACTATGCATTGAATGTTGTATAACTTCCCCTATAAAAATAAAGATTGATTTTTCTCGGTGAGTCAGTTGGGCCCAAAAGGCCTGGCTGTCCTCCAGCACCCCACCGGGTGTCTCGCTCCAGTCTCTTCGCCTTAGCCGTGCATGCTTCGGGGACCCTGAGACCACACCGAGGCTGAACCCCAGCACTTCCTTCCCCCTAAGAATAAATAAAACTTTTAAAAATAAATAAATAAATAAATAAATAAATGCACGTAGAAGCAGCTGGAAAGCCAATCAATGCACACTTTGGATGTAACAATAATCAGCAAGTCACATGCTCAAAAACTGAAGGTACTTTTTGCAGCAGCTGAAGATCTTAATGATCCAAGTTTAAAAATCAGCTCTAGGTCACATATGTATATACTGCAAGAATATCTCTCTAAGTTTGAATAAGAAATGGTGGTAGCTGCTGCCTCTAGCAGTCAGACCTGCAAACATATTTAGGAAAGGAAGACTTATTTTTCACTTAATTTCTTTTGCAGTGTTTGGCTTTTGAGCTATACAATATATAGGGAATGGTAGTGTGAAGAGTTAGGCAGAACCTCTCTCCCACAGAGACATCTATTAAACATGTCAAAATTATCAAAATCTCTGGAGACTGACTGAATCTATGGAATTCATTAGGAACCGCAGAGAGCACTGCATTCGAATAGGTGACAGCCATCCCCCCACACCTGTGTGTGCAGAGCTAATTCAGGGGCCTTGGCAACCTTGACCTGGTGGTGCCCTTTCTCTCACCCCCAGTTTCTACTCCATGCGGAGGATCCTGGCCGAGCAGCTGATGAAAGGGGGGACGGCTAATGACAGTGCAGTCCCCCATTGCCTTACCGCTCTGTATTGTAGAAGATCTGCCCAGTGAGTTCAGTGGCTGAGTGGTAGCTCCCACTACTCCCAGTTTCCTAGAGCTGTTCAGGTATTTCTAAAATTTCTTAATTAAAGAACATTTTTGGTAGCCAGGGTATATCCACAGATCCCATCTTGCCAGGCTTTGTGCCAAGGAGGCTGTGGCTACTGGTCAGAAGTTCCTACTGCCTCCCACCGCAAGCTTCTGTTCCACAGGGAGGCCCCAGGCAGGGCAGCCAGTGAAGAGCAGGGGCCCAATCGATCCCCTGCTCCACAGCACAGAGATTCTTCCCAGGGTTAGGTGGGACAAATGCTGCCAAAGACTGGCAACCCCTCACCCCTGCCGAGGTGCCCAACTTTATTTGGATCAGACCACAAAGCCATTTATGCCCCAGGACACTGTCAACAACAACAGAGCCATCAGTGGAGGCTAACAGCTTGGCATGGTAAAACAGAAACAGACCAGCCAAAAATGTAACAGGAAGATCAGAGAAACCTGTTAAAACCATAGTTGTCCTCATGTCATGGAAGACTGTGCAAATGCCCAAGGCTGCACCTTCTGGGGAGCAAAGGAGAGGGACAGTCAGAGCCTCTGGTCTTTGGCTCAACATAGGACAAACTCATAAACTCCCTGAACTGTGAAAACTGTCTCCAAACCACACAACACAGACCTAACAGTGAAGAGTGACAACATCACTGGCTTAAGGGACTACGGTACAACCTCCCAAGGGCAGTGGCTGACTGCTGGAGTTGAAATGAAGGCTTCGCAACATGGGGCTCAATAGTAGATGTGGGCTGGCAGAGGAACAAATCAGCAAAATACAGATCAAGGGAGACTGAAATTCCAAGAACGGAGGGAAAAAATGGAGGAAAAGGAACAGTCGGAGAAATGTGGGACACCATTAAGCACAGGGAGTGCCAAAAGGAGAGAGAAAAGGGCAGAAAAATTTTTGAGGAAGTAATTCCAAGATTTGATGAAAAACATTAATCTATACAATCAAAAAGTTTAATGAATTCCAAGTAGGATAAAAGAAAACGCTAATGTCCGTCAACAGGATAATAGACTGACCACTGAATACTCACACAGTAACAAAACGCTATTCAACAGTAAAAAGAATAAAGCACTGTTACATAAAACAAAATGGGTGAATCTCACATACAGGATGTTGACCAAAAGAAGCCAAACACAGAAAGTACATACTGTATAGTTCTATTTACATGATGTTTCAGATGAGGCGAAAGCAACCTGAAAAAAATCAGGACAGTGGCTGATGTGGGAGGTGGGATGGTGTCTGCCTGGGAGAAAGTGCTGAGGGGATTTTCTGGAGTGATAAAACTGTTCCGTATCTTGACAGGGGTGTGGTGGGTTATGGGTGCATGCTTTTCACAAAATTAACTGAATTATACACCCAACCAATTAATACATTTTACTACATGTAAATTTTACCTAAAAAAAAAAAAAGCAAATATTGCACTCTAGCTATATAGGGTTGCCTTTAACAATGGTACAACTTAGCGATTCTGAAACTACTTTTGCATATTCTAGGAACAATGAACAATTTAAATATGGACTCTGGACTAGATAATAGTATTGTATCAATGTTCAATTTCCTAACTGTGATAACTTTACTTTGGTTATATGAGAGATTACCCTTGTTCTTAGTAAGCACACATGTAAGTACTTTGTGGTAAGGGAGCGCAATGTTTCCAATTTATTCTCAAATGATTCAGAAAAAGAAAAAGTATGTTTATACATATAGAGAATAATTAAACAAATGCAGCAAAATATTAAAATCTGCTGAAACTAGATAAAAGGTAGAAAGAAGTCCATTCATATTCTTTTAACATTTCTGTAAGTTTAAGATTGTATTGTAAGGCCCTGGCCAGGTAGTTCAGTTGATTAGAGTATTGGCCCAATACGCCAAGGTTGCAGGTTCAATCCCCAGTCAGGGCACATACAAGAATCAACAAATGAATACATAAGCAAATGGAACAACAAATTGATGTGTTTTTTTCTCTCTTTCTAAAATATCAATAAATAAATTTTTAAAAATTATATTATAAAATATTACAAAAAAAAAAAAGAGGCTAATACCAGACTGGTTTCATCTATTTACATATACCAACAAGGAAAAATATTTCCTCTTTCTGGCCCTACAAGACTATTAGAATTAGATCACTTTAATCCTACTCCCTGGTTTTACAAATGAAAAGTTGTGACCCCCACTGGAAGAACGCAAAGCTGACACGTGACAAACTAAGCTGTGTCCCATACTGACACACCAAGAAAAGAAAGAAGCAAAAGTTTAAAGACATGAAAACCTCAAAACAATTCTTTAAGGGTACAAAGGCCGAACTACCATTTCTTTGGATTCTTAGGGGTAAAAAAAGGTTAATGTATTACTAATGTACTATAACAGGGCAAAGGTTCACCATACTATCTTCTTTTACCAGTGGAAGGAAATTAACTGTCAGCCAGGACCATTATATATTCCCTATTTCAAACAACTAAGTTAAAGGATAACAAAATCTAAGAACTGTTTGTTTTCAGGTTCATGTCCCACAGGGCTAGGTATATGGTAACCAAAAAATGCTCAGTGCTGGTGAACACACAACACAATAAACAGAGGATGTATTATAGAACTGTATGCTTAAAATCTACACAACTTTATTAACCAATGCCACCCCAATAAGTCCAATAAAGTTTTTTTAAAAATTTAAAAAATAAAATGCTCAGTGAAATGATGGAGATCTAAATAAATGGAGAGCTATCCCACGTACATGAATAGGAAGGCAATACCATCAAGATGTCAGTTCTTTCCAACTTGACCTACAGATTCAACACTGTCCCAGTTAAAGTCCTAGCAAGTTATTGTGTGGATCTCAACAAACTGATTCTAAACTTTATATAGAAAGGAGAAAGAACCAAACTAGCCAAAACAGGGAAAGAGAAAAGCCAGAAACTGACCTTATCCAACTCAAAAGTTACTATAAAGATCCAATAATGAAGACAGTGTGGTATTGATAGCAGAACAGAAAAACAGACCTATAGAAGAGAATACAGGGTGTAGAAACAGACCAACACAAATAAAGTCAAATGATCTCTGACAGAGGAGCAAAAGCACTCCATTGGAGAAATGTCCTTTGAACAAATGGGGCTGGAACAAATGGACATCCAGATCTTAAAAGATAACAGGAGAAAATCTAGATGACCACGGGTATGGTGATTACTCCTCAGATAAAACACCAAAGGCTCGACCCACTCAAGAAATCATTCATCAGCTGAATGTCATTAAAATTAAAAATTTCTGCTCTGCAAAAGACAAGGTCAAGAAAATGAGAAGAAAAGCCACAGACTGAGAGAAATAATTGCAAAACATGTATCTAATATATCTTTTATATACCAGGACAGTTATCCAAAATATACAAAGAACTCTTAAAACTCAATAAGAAAACAAACAACCCATTTAAAAAGACCTGAACAGACACCAAAGAAGATACACAAATGACAAATAAGCATATGAAAAGATGGTTAACATGATGTATCATCAGGAAACGACAAATTAAAACAACAGTGAGATACCACTCCACACCTACTAGGTTGATCAAAAACCCAAACCACTGGTAACACCAAATGCTGAGGAGGTTGGGGAGCAGCAGGAACTCTCAGACTCACTGCTGGTAGGAATGCAACATGGTGCAGACCTTTGGAAGGCCTGGAAGACAGTCTGACAGTTTCTTACAGATCTGAACATATTCTTACCATATGATTCAGCAATGAGTTGAAAATCTATGTCTGCACAAAAACCTGCACACAGATGTCTGCAGCACTTTTATTCATAATTGCCAAAACATGATCAAAGAATCAAGATGCCCTTCAAAAGGTAAAGGGATGAAAAAATTCCATGCAATGGAATATTATTCAGCAATAAAAAGAAATGAGCTATCATACCACAGAAAAACATGGAGAAACCTTAGATGTACATTGCTAAGTTAAAGAAGCCAATCTGAAAAAGGCACCTACAGTATGATTCCAACTACATGGCATTTTGGAGAAGGCAAAATCATGCAGACAGTAAAAAGAGTAATGGCTGTTTCAAGGGGTTGAGGGAAGGGATGAATAGGTAGAGCCCAGGAAATGTTTAGGGCAGTGAAACTATACTATATAATGCTGAACTGGTGGATACGTGTCATTACAGATTTGTCAAAACCCACAAAATACACCACACAAACAGTGGTCCCTTTAATTAATAATAATGTATCAATATTGGCTCATCAATTTTAACAAATGCACTGCAGTAATGAAAAATGTTAATAGGAGAAACTATATGTGTCTGTACTTTTCCTCAATTTTTCTATAAACGGAAAATTGTTCTAAAAACTAAAGTCAATTAATTAAAAAGTGAACCTCTTTAATAAACTTCTCACCAGGTCTAATGAAGACATTCTCCACAGACAACATGGCTGCGATCGGAAGCAGCAGATCTTCACAGTCCAGAGAGGCAGCCTTTATAACCGCACAGGTCAGATGCGGAGGGAGAGGAAACTCCACCATGGACAAACCCAGTCTGGTCACATAGCCACTCCTTAACAGAGAAAAAGACCTGTTAAGTAAGTCTTTCTACTTTGGAGAGTATATTCATTTGTACTCTCATTCAAAATAAATAAGATATAATTTAGACTAAATCACCCCCAGAAATTCAATTCAATGTAAGAAACATAATACACTATGGTCACTGATAAGAGAAACGTAAAGATAATAAATTCCTTGTTGCCAAGGGCCAATACTCAAAAAAAAAACTAAACAATGATGCAGAGTAAAGTAGTTAAACATAAGACACAAAATGCTACAGAAACACTGGAAGATATCCCTGAAGTAATGAGAGAATGTTACCAAATTTTTCCCCATCACAGTCACGAAAAACAGAAACTGAGGCTCTCTTATTGTTTTGATGCACCCAGCATAATGCCTGGCACTGAAATAGTACCAAAATTAAACAAAAGTAGTTTTATGATACAGTTTGTAAATTCAGAATTGTGGTGAAGAAAGGCTGAAGATAATTTCTAATTTCAGGTAAAACAATCCATTCAATTCACATAATCATTTTCTACTCATAAAAGAGAGCATTAAGAACTCTATTTTATATGGAGATTAACATCTGTTGTGATCAGGTTAGCAGGGAGAGGCTCTGTTTGTTTATTGTTTTTACCTGTCAATAGCATCACACTGGTAAAGTTGTTTAAGAGCTTCCAAAATAAGCCTCTCATTAGGTGGGTCCAAATAGGGAAACCTGTGTATTGAGAGGGATATAAAATGAGATTCCATTTCTTTCTTCTTTTTTTTTCATATTTTATTTATTTTTAGAGACAGAGGAAGGAATGGAGAAAGAGAAGGAGTGAAACATCAACATGTGAAAGAGACATTCATCAGTTTCCTCTTGCACGCCTCCCAGCAGGGACCTGGCTACAACCCAGGCCTGTGCCCTGACTGGGAATCGAACCAGCAACCTTTCAGTTTGCAGGCCAATGCCCACCCCACCAAGCCACACCAGTCAGGACAAGATTCCATTTCTTGAAAACTATGATTTTACACAGATTTGAAACTTTTCTTTAAAAGGTTTAAGCTCTATTTTTCAAATTTCTCTTTTTTAAGCCATTCTATGGTCATGATCGGCATTCAGCAAAGGGGGAAATAACTTTTTTCTGAATCGGTCTTCTATTAATTCAAGCACCTCTTTTGATCTTCTTACCTGGAACACTCTCGCCATTCCTCTTATCTTAGTCCTGCCTCATTCTTCATAGCCAATGCCAACTCGACTCTGTTCTTTGGTCCACAGTTTATTACATTTTATACAATTATATAAAACAATGGAGAAAAATTCATTGAAAGTGGCCAAATTGTTTAATAGTATTTCAAAATGACTTTTGATAAAAAGGCAAGTACATTCAATTAACTTTACCGTATTTGTTTCACGTATGTGTATATACTTACTTTCTCCCGAACTCTGAAGGCAAGTTGCAAATAAAACACTAATTCACCCCCAAAATACTCAGCATGCATTCCCCCCACCAAAAAAACAAAACAACAACAACAAAAAAACAGATTCTCTTATATAACCACAATATCACTGCACAATTAATAATTTTCACAAAGGATAACAGTGGCATATAACCAAGCATGAATATATATATATATATATTTTTTTTTTTAAAGAGGAACAATAGTTACTTATTAGTTCTGCACTGGATTATTTTTCCCACCATTAGTCTGGGGATGATAAATCATCTACTCCAATTTCTCACCTTGAAAACCGTCCAACAAAGGACAAAAAGTCGAGTACCTTACACAAAACTCCATTCTAGGACTAAGAGCTCTATTTCAAAACAAGCGAACAAAAATCTCAGACTGTCTTACAGTCAGCTTTGCAAGTCCGCAACACTTTCTGTAAAAGGCCTAGTGGTAAATACCCTGGTTTTGCAGGCCATATGGTCTCTGTCACAATCACTCAACTCTGCTGTTTTAGAGAGAGCAGCCATGCATGAATATGCATAGCTACGTTCCAATAAAATTTTATTTATAAAGATGGTCAGGGAGCCTGCATCACAGTCTGTGACCTCTGCCCTAGGGCAATAGGAAACTAGTCAGCTTTCTCTTCTCTTTAAGAACCCTTTCAGACTTGTAAACGCTACAATTATTTTTCTCCCTTGATTATATCAGTTACTAATCTGCCAACCACTCTTGGTATTATTTGGCTTCTAAGGGACTCAGTATACCTAATTACCAACTTTTAGAAACACTCTAGTTTGTCAAACTTCTCATAAAACTACAATATCCAAAATGAAACTCCAAACGCAGAGTGACCAGCACAGAACAGGAATGGTATAATTCCTAGTCATCTGGACACTGCTGTCTATTAACAAAACCATTCTATGCCAGCAGGATTTTAAAATTGTTTTGTAACAGCATAATATTGCAAACTCTATTAAATTTGTCATAATCTGATAATTTCAGGTGCTTTGCACATGAATTTCCTTAATGTGCAACTAAAACACAGGCTGTAAGATGCAGCTGTCAGACTTGGACCTTGTGACTTCTGTCCAAGCTTCTGACCTTTTGAGATCATTCTAAATCTTGGCTTCAATTCTGCAACAATTAGATAGCAAGACATGTTCCAGAAATCTGATCAAGACTTCAATATTTATTTAATAATTTCATTAAAAATGCTTATCAGGAAAAAGCAGAGATCAGCATCTTAACAGTATAATCACTACCTAGGCTACACAAAGCAATTAATCAATACTTTATGGATTTGGCTATTCTGCAACTAAACTCTATTCAGCAGTAGAGTCTGTCCCCTTATTCACAAAGATGTCAAATGTAATCCTGTTACAAACTGTGTTGAAAATAAGAGACGTTGGGCTATCTTTCAATAAATTCTTGTAGCGTACCCACTGTGTGGACGGTCCTGTCTTCAAACTGAAAAGAAGATGGTTTATAATGACAGAGTCTTTGGGGGTGATTTTGATTCACACTGATCATTATACGTCACCACTAAATTCTCTTAAACCACTTTCCACTAAACTGTACTAGACTCTGCTAAGAATCAATGTCAGGCTTACTGAGTAGTTATTTCCAAAATTGGCCATTTTCCTAAATGGAAAAAGTAAGACATTTGTATTTCTCACAATCTTCTGGTGACCTGTTCTGCATAATTTCTCACAGATAACCCACAATGCATTTGACATTAAACGTGCAAGTTATTTTAGTACCACGGAAACAATGTCTAAAGCCTCAAGACAGACTCATTTATGGTTGTTAGGTGTTTATCTCGTCACTTTCTAATCCATCTTGGTCACCAGTTCCTCCTTATCTAGACTTGTTCTCATCTTTCTAGTTTTAAAGTCATTCTTGAAGAGAAAGGAGAAGCAAAATAACTGAAAAGCTCTATTTTCTTTCTGTCATCTATGAATAGTATACCATCTATCCCAAATACTGGTTCTTTCTCTTTTTTCTATACATATCTTAAAAAGGGGGAGAGAAATCTTTCTTTTTTCTTTTTCTCTACTTTGGGGACTTTTTGTACAGTGTAAAACCTTAAGATGGAAAAAAATAACTCAGTACAGATATTAAGTAATTATTGTTTGTTTTTCTCATATATATTTATTCTTGGTTATATGCTACTCTGCTATCCTTTGTAAATATATTCAAATCTGGGTTCATCTGAAAGCTTTCTGTTTGGCCATTTACATTTATTTAAATGGCTCTTCATTTATATCATTTATGATTATAATTAGAATTTCATATATTACATGCTTTCCTCTTTCTAGGATCTATATTCTCATTTAGAAAATCTCTGGTCTTACGATAACCAAAACCTTTTCCAGCTGATTTTCCAAGAGTATACAATATGTATTTGGATGCATCTAGTAATTATTTCTCTTCTTATTATGAATTTAAAGAATGCCGCCCTGGCCAAGTAGCCATATTGGTCAGAGCGTCATCCCAATATACAAAGGTTGTGGGTTCGATCCTTGGTCAAGGCACATATAAAAATCAACCAATGAATGCCTAAATAAGTGAAACAACAAATCAGTGTTTCCCTCTCTCTCTCTAAAGAAAACAAAAATCAATAAAAAAATTTAAAAGAACGCATGGCCATCTTTCCCAAGTTCCCAACATCTTTACATCCCCAGACAAGACCAAAACTAAGAATAAGACAGTACTTTCCTTCATTACTTCCTCTACCATATGTATGGAACATGAAATTTCAAGCCTCTATAATAATATTGTCCTAGCCTTGACTGGTGTGGCTCAGTGGACTTGAGTGCTGACCTGCAAACCAAGAGTCACTGGTTCAATTCCCAGGCAGGGCACATGCTTGGGTTGAGAGTCAGGTCCCCGGTTAGGGGCACATGAGAGGCAACCACACACTGATGTTTCTCTCCCTCTTCTCCCTCCCTTTCCCTCTCTCTAAAAATAAACTAAATCTTTTTAAAAAATACTGTCCTATACCAATTAATTATATAGTTTAACATTTGACTAATTTAACAGTTCTATTTGTTACTGCACATATCTGATTCTTATTTTTCTGATATAACTGAAGCTTGGTGAAAGCAAAAACTACTAGAGTATTACCCTGTCTCTCGCAGTGCATGGTACAATGCTGGTCATACAAAAGATGCCACAAAAAAACAAACAGAAAAAGCTTTTCTGGCTAGAATTAAGGTCATTACATACCTTTCACAATAGATAAGCTAGTGGTCACTGAACGACCCAAATATCAGCATGAGGCCCACTACTGAACTAACGTTAAAATATGAGCAAGGGATCATGTTCTAGTAAAGCAACATAAAGAAGCCTTTTCTATGGGTTTAGCTGAACCTTGAGAGGGAGGGATGTCTGAGCCAAATACTTCAAAGAACTTCTGAGACATAACCTGGCTCCACCCTAACACATTTTTCTTTTTTTTAAAGCTGTCTACGTACCTTATAACATCGTGTATGGCAAGGCACTTTAAGGTCAGAACTACAGATGTCAAACTAGTTCTCTTAATCTCAGGGATCACGTGGTCAGGCATACACTGGTTCCAGAAATCTTTACTATAGATCCGAAAGCATTTTCCTGAGGCAGTCCTACCAGCTCGGCCACTTCGCTGTAACGCCTCACTCCTTTAGAAGAAAAAAAAAGGAAAAGTCCCCAAAGTGTTCCGTGGGTTTCCTAAGCAATTCACTTCGTATCCCTGAACCACCCAGAAATTATCTGATCAACCATCCTTTGAACAAAAAGACTTGACAGAGAGACTTACTTTGAAATTGGAACCACCTCCAGGATGTCCAGCCCCAATCTGGGATTGTGATTTAACTGTTTCACAAAGCCACCGTCTACCACATATCTAAGGAGAACAAAAACCAGTTAAGTTTTTAGAAAATAAGAAAAGACCTGCTCATTTTCAACCACTTTGGATTCTCCTTTTCCACCAAACTAACAACTACATGCTGACTTCTATGTTAACTGTAAAACTTGAAAGTCAAGAAACGGGAGCCCTCGTGCATTGCTGCTGGAAGCATAAAGTGGTTCAGCCAATGTGGAAAATGGTCTGAAGGTTCCTCGAAATGTTAAACAGAGAATTACCATATGACCCAGAAATCCATTCCTAATAAGTATACACCCCCAAGAACTGAAAACAGTACTCAACAAGTACTTGTAGATGTGTGTCCACAGTAGCAGTATTTGAGAAAAGCAAAAGGTTGTCCATGACCCATTAAGAGCTGAACAAAGGCACAAATTACAGTATGTACGTATAATGGAATACATATCATATTCTGAGTTACTGCTTAAAGGGTACAGGGTTCTATTTTGGGATGATAAAAATGTTTTAAAACTAAATAGATGTGGTGGTTGCATAACATTGTGAATGCATTACATAATACTTAATTGTTCATTTTTAAATGTTAATTTTGTTACAAAATTTCTCTTAAAAAAATAAACAAACTTGACACTCAGTTCTAAAACATTATAATGGGTTCAGAATATCATTCCAGCTAGCCTTTAACAATACCACTGTAAGTCAGTTAAATGGAGAACAAGTCATGTAACAAAACAACTAGAAACAGCAGTTAAGTCTACTTAACTTACTACTAAGTTACTTAGGGAACATTCTGAAACACACTATTTAATAACTTTTGCCTTTGCTGAAAACAGAAAATTGCAGATTAATTTATACTCAGGAGAGCTGCTCCCCTAAGCCCTTAGTGAAACCATTATTTTTATTTATATATTTTAAAGATTTTATTTATTTACATTTAGAGGTAGGGGAAGGCAGGGAGAAAAAGAGGGAGAGAAACATCAGTGTGTGAGAGATATAGTGATCGGTTGCCTCTCACATGCCCCCAAATGGGGACCTGGCCCACAACCCAGGCATGTACCCTGACTGGGAATCGAACTGCCAACCCTTCAGTTTGCAGGCCAGCACTCAATCCACAGAGCCACAGCAGTCAGGGCTGAAACCATTATTTTTAAAGTAAAGGAGAAAAGGAGAAGAAGTTAAACTTCCTTTCAGATGTGGGTGATCATTTTGCCAAAAAGAAATATATTCAATTTTGGAGATTCAGGCCCAGCCTTCCTATGATAGAAAGACTTAGTTAACAATATAAAATACATTGGGCAAAAGATAATATTCAAAAGGAACATGTTTCAACAGGGCTGAAAGGACTTCATTCACATTAACCATGAGTCTAGACTTACTTGCCAGTGTTTCTCTACTATATCTACCTCAAAATTTCATGGCATCATTGATTACATTAAATAAGAGACCTGCATTAGAGTTCATTTCATAAAAAGGTGAAAAGTGAGAAACAGTGTCTCCAGACAAACACTTGGATGTACGCAGCTTACTCTACCAGCTGAAGCTGCCAGGTGAGAAAGGAAGAGATCACTACAGATATACGCTGGTAATGGGAGTACAGAAAAACAGACCTGGCTTCCTATTTAGTGACACTCATGAAGTACTATGCATAATCTTAATTTGGGAAGAGAAAAGCTACAAGTTGCCAAGTACAAGTAGTTAAAAAGTGGGATCAGGAATATTACGTACACTTCCTACTCTGTTTCCTATTCATTGCAATCTATAACAACAAAAATGATAGGCGATTACAAGTTAAGCAGGAAAGAAAGGAATTAGCAGAGGGCACAATGAAGCAAACTCAATGTTTAATGATTAGCTAAGTGGTTTTCTTGGCTTTAAAATAAATTTTAAAAGTTGTACCTGATTCCATCTATTGTCAAAGATGTGGCAGAAATATTAGTAGATATGACACATTTTCTAATTCCAGGTGGAGGTGGCAAAAATATTCTCCTCTGTTGATCTATAATACATGTTAAAAGAAAATACTAATTTATAATATGCATTTGTCAAACTCAAGTTTTGAGAAACTAATTTCTTTCCATTAAAAGTTGTCTTTTCTTCACCTCTTTATCTTGAATTCAAAATATAATAGCAAAACTATTTTTTCCTCACCTTTTACTGTTGAAACTTCAAGATACATGGAAACACAGATTATTATTGCTAAAATAAACCCTACAGTAGACTCCTATTGTAGGTCATCTCTCCCTTTGAGAAGATTTTAAAACTGTGGACCTCTTTTGCATTAAAAGACACATATGCACACAAACAAAATATTTCAAGCAATTCCCATCTGTGGACTACAGATTAAGGACCTCTCCCTGCCTTAAAGATTAATCAGGTCAGTGGTTCTTACTTTTTGGGTATCTGCCCAACTCATGACTACCTGTCTAAACAAGTAACCCCACACTCATTTCCGCTACCCACACATTTGGCAGGGCGGGCCCCAGCAGCAACGCTTGGAGTATGATACCTTGCTCCTCTGGTCATACTTTACTGTACCAAAGATAAATATCTCCCCCAAGACAGGCCAATTTGATTCTCTTGTGCATCTGGAAAAGGGTCCAAGAGATGCTCAATTTCATTAGGCCACTCTCTTGCAAAGAGGAAAAAGAAACTTGTGAACCACAGTAAAATGACTAATATAAATGAAGGAGAGAAAACTAGTCTAAAGAAAGAAAAAGATGAAGCAGCCACGAGAGTTGAGAGTATTTCTGGACTCCTGACATGTCCCAAGTCTCTTAAGGCCTGGGTGCAGATTAAGTAGAAAGATAGGTTTGGCCAAACTCCCCCTCTCCTGCCAGGTTATGCAGAGAACTGGGCAAGACAGCTGAGAATTTCTGCAAGGAAATAACTTCACTATGGACAAAAAGAGTTAGGTGTAGGCTAATAAAGGACTAGTCTCAATGCATTTTGAAAATTGTTGACTTAGGAATAGTAGAGTGGGTTGACAAACCAGAAGTAACCATCAGAAAGATGTTTAAAACTGAGATCAGAAATGGTGGTAATGACAAAGTCCAGGATGTAAGCTTTTGAATGTGTGGCTGAAGCAGGATGAAGATAAAGATCACTAAAGCTAAAGAGGTCAAAGAACTTCCAACAAGGGATCTGGGTGGATCATCTATTTCAATGACCTCAAAAAACTAGGAGTAATCATTCCAGGGAGTACATGGATATGAAAAGTAATTATTAGCATTCCTATACATATTTTTCATAAGTCTTTAAAACTTTTTATTTTATATGTGTTTACTACTGTATCATACATATTAGAACAACATATATACATATACACATACGTATATATATGTAAGTCTTTTTTTAACATTTTGTTGCTGTTGTTTTTTAAAAGAAAGCCCTGAGTGGTGTGGCTCAGTGGGTTAGTTGGGCATCATCCTGTAAACCGAAAGGCTGCTGGTTCAATTTCTGGTCAGGGCACACGCCTGGGTTGCAGGCCAGGTTCCCAGTTGGGGTGTGCAAGAAGCAACCGATTGATGTTTCTCTCCTTCTCTTTCTCTGTCCCTTCTCCTCTCTCTAAAAATATATAGATAAAACCTTTAAAAGAAAGAAAGAATGAAAGAAAGAAAAACATTTTATATGCCTGGCTGCATTTGATTTCCACAAGAAATGCTCTGATTTGCATAGAAAGTTCACTTTTTCTGCTTGAGCAACCTCCAGTTTCTCTTTCAGCAGCCAAGAAAATCTTAATAAAACCTGCTTTCTGATAAAGTACAAAGGTTGTTTTCTAACAAAATCTTAGCAAGATCCATGTATTCCCAACATATAAAACAGACGAAAGCTAGACTATTATGAGAAAGAAACGAGTGGCACGGACAAGCACAGTGTTAAGCTCGTGGAACTAGGCCAACGATCTCACTTTATAGATGAGGAAACTAAAGCCCAGGGATCGAGTGGCTTCACCACACAGACAGGCCGATTTAAAACCAAGCTGAAGCCCCGGCCAGGTAGCTCAGCCAGTTAGAGCATCATCCCCATACACCAAGGCTGCATGCAGGTCTGATCCCCAATCAGGGCACATACAAGGAGCAACCAACAAATGCATAAATAAGTGAAACAACAAATCGATGTTTCTCTTTCTCCCTCTCAAATCAATAAATAAAAAAATAAAATCAAGTTGAATGATGTTGCTATTCTTCCACATCATTCCAAAATTAATTTCAAAAGTAAAAAAGTGCTAGAAAGGCAGAGTTTTAAAAATACCTGTAGAGAAGTTTTAATATAACTACTAAAATAATTCCCAAAAGACCTATTGAAAAATCTAATGAAAAACGTTAAGTGTTAAAAATTACTTTTTTGATAGTTCTTAGATTTAGGTAGCATGTATCTTCCAGATGATTCACAGGAATTATCATACTACTTTGTAGTTCAAATTATGTTTATACATTTATTGCCTATTTATTCTACTACAATGTAGCTCTGATGGAGTAAGAACATTCTCTTTATATACAAGACATATCCCCAGAACCTAGAACAATGCCTCGACCATAGGAAGTGCTCAGTACAGTTGAATGAATTCATAAATAAAAAATGAATTATATACATAATTAATTAAGATCCTTCTATTTTGAAATTTCATGTTACCCTAAACTTTTACCTATGTTAGAAATGTCCTTTCTAAACATATTTATCTAAAATCAAATCTATTTTTCAATCAACCTATTTCTAAAAGTACCAATCACCAAAATTTAAGTGTCTTTACCATTTTGTTTACTATAATCAATGAAAAAGTGCTGAAACTGGGGTTTTGACAGGACTCATATTTGTTTCACATTTACATTTCATCCAAACACTTTAACACCATATTCCACAAGCATAATCAAATGCCAGTCTGTCTGTTTATAAGGGTTTGGAAAAACGTTAAATACATATATCTTAAAGCACGTTCTCATTCTCCATGAAGGAAAGGGGAGAGAGTGAATACTTTCATTAAGATGTAGTAATTCTCCTGATTATTTCCATTTCCTGGTTTTTCTACTTAAGAAAGATTCTGATATTCCTTATCCCATCTATCTCAGCACCTAATAAGATACTTGAATGTTATTAACTGGATGAGGGGGCAGACTAACAAAGAGGCAGAGGCAGAAAGATGTTCCAAAGTCTACCAAGAAATAAGAATATTGAGGGGAAAATATTCAACTATCTTAGAGGAGTAATGCTGCTAAGATACATATGAATATGACATATTATATGTTAAGGCCAACTGATACTTTCTCATAGAATTTCTTGTCCCAAATTAACCCCGAAACATCCCAAAGCAGAAATACATCTTAGAGAGACAGAGTAAAAGGAACATAAAGCAATAAACAGAAACTGTCAATCAAAAAAGAAAAATGAACGAGGATTCTAGAACAGAATGAAGAATTAAAACTGTTCAACTCCAGCTCTACCCCTGCCCCAGATGTCATTTTTGGGTGAATTAAAAATGCCTTGAGAATTCTCACTAACACAGCTGAAAATTAAATTCTTGACACAGAAAAGGTTTGAGAGAATCCCTACATGCAGTTGAAAGAGAGAAAGTAACTAAAAAGTAGCTAAAGAAATATGGAAGATAGACAATCCAACATAAGAATAATTGGTATCCCTGATGTAGAGAAACCAATAAAGTTATATTCAAACATATAACACAAAAAAATGTCCCTGAAATAAAGAATTGAATTTGCAGACCAATAGGGCACATCAGAAAAGATCACCTGTTTGTGGTTGTGGTCACATGGATAAGTACATTTGTCCAATTCCATTAACTATAATACTTAAAGCAGGCACAGTTTATTGTGTGTAAATTATACCTCAATAAAACTGATTTTTAAAAATTAGTAGTTCAATTCCAGGAAATTTTAATATAAAACAGTCAACACCAAAAATAAAAAAGAAAAAAAAAAGAAATATATCCTAGAACTATTGAACTTTAAGGGTAAAAACAGAAATTTTCAGGCAATCAGACAGAAAAAGCAAATCACTTACAAGGAGGGGGTAAAAAGCCAGGCTGGCCTCAGACTCCTCCGCAGCAACACTCAATGCCAGAAGACAACTGGACAACGTCTACCAAGTTCTAAGAAAAAGAAAGTGTGACCCAAGAACATAAAACCCAGCCAAGATGTAGTTCAAGTATAAAGGCAAAAGCCAGACATTCTGAAACATAAAAGAGCAACAGAAAATAACACTCAAAAGCACTTCTATTAAAAAAAAGTTAACCAAATCCAACCAATCTAAAATTAACCAAAAATAATGTAGAAATGGAAAACCATGGTTAAAAAAAATTGACGGTAAACACTAAATACATCTGAATCATGTAAAAATAACTAACAAAAATTAGAAGCAGAGGATATGAGCAAAAAAGTACTTAAATCCTCATCGGATAAGATCTCCAGTCAAATATGGTCTAAAAGAAGATATTAATATTTTTCATCTTTTTACACTTTAAAGCAATCTTTTATAAAATATTCTCTCATGTGATAAAGGTTTACTTAAAGTTTAACAATTCCTTCAAGTAAATTCAAGTAAAATTATACACCTTTCTGAAAAGCAAGTGCCCTGGCTGGGTGGCTCAGTGGGTTAGAGCATCATCTCAAGAGGCCAAGGGTGTGGATTTCATCCCTGGTCAGGGCACATACAAAAATCAAACAATGAATACCTAAGTAAGTGGAACAACAAATTGATGTTTCTCTCTCTCTCCCCCTTCCTCTCACTCTAAGGGAAATCAATAAATAAATAATTAAAAAGCAATGGTACAATCTCACTTTTAAAAAGCATTTCTATCAACCTACCTACCTATTTAGTTATCTTTCTACACGTTTACACAAGCAGACACACACACTCTTGAAAAATGGTTTTCCTAATATTAAAGATGGTTATTTCTGGATGGAGGAATTTGAGGTGATTTCTTTACTTTTACCTTTGTAATTCTGCATACTCTTGAATTCTCTGTGATAAAACTGTACAATTTTCCCTCAATTGAGTAATTTTTATTTAAAGAAAATTGGTGCAAATATGCTGAGACATTAACAGTGTGCTAATTCTGCAGAGCGGGAAATGGATTTTTTTGTATTTTTCTGTACTTTTAAAGATTTCTACAAAGGGCAAAAAAACCCATAAAAGAACACATATAACATAATTCCATTTTCTGTTTAAAAACCTAAACAATAAAAATATATTTAAATGTATAAAGAAAAGTCCAGAACAATATACCTCAAAAGACTGATAGTCATCAGTACTTAACCATGTGGTGGGACCTGAGTAAGTTTAATTATTTTCTTACTTTGACTTTTTTTTTAAAGTATGTATTTCTTTATAAGACCAAAAAAAAAAAAAAAGTCCCATTTGGGGAGGCTCTACATAGAGTCAAAGTTTTTATGTGAAGCTCACTAACCTTACCCCCCTACACCTTTAATCTTAACATTTAAAGAAACTATTGTAAACAAAGCACATTTTAGGTACCCACCATACTGAGGCAAAGTCTTTGGTTTATAGGAAGAAAGAAAACTATTTTGGGATTTATGCAATAATCTAAGTGAGCAGATTTTCCTCACTTCAAATGATGTGCACTAAATGAGATAAAACTCCGTTCCTTTTCTTCATGTATTCAGGAAACGCACACTATTTTATCACCTGCTACTGAGTAAACAACCAGCCATCAAATACAGATGCACCATGTGACCTCGGGAAGATCCCTTAGCCTCTCTATCTGTAAAATAAAGTTTAATTATGCAATATATATATATATATATATATATACACACATACACATATAACATGTGTGTATATATATGAGTACATGTGCATTCTTCTAGAGAAACAAGTCATGACTTCCATTGCCTTTTCAAAAGAATCTGAGGCCCTACCCTCCAAAAGAGGCTAAGAAGCACTGAATTAGACAATTACTTTTAGTGCTAAAATTGTCTAACTCCATACAAATATTTGTCACTTATGTAGACACAGGTATATTTCAGTTCCTAAATTTTTGTGGGGTTGTTTTCCCTAGATGCATGACAAACCTGAGGGACTGTAATACCTCAAACCAAAGAAGGAAGTCAGAAGAGCAAAAAGGTTTGAGAGCAGCAAGAAAAAGGTTCCAGACAGAGCATTTGATGAGACACTCCAAGAACGTCTGCAGAAAGTAAAAACTCTGGAACCTAGTCTAACAGATATTTAATCAGGACTTTTTCAACATACCGTACTTGCCTTCAAGAAGTTCAGTCTCTTAGGAGGAGACAACCATAGCACAAGGCAGAATGTGTGAAGTGCCATAAGAGGCACAGCAAAGCTGTGGTTCAAAGGAAGAAGAGATCAAAGCCAGTGGTGAGGAGGGAAATCAGGAAACATCTTTTATGGAGTTGGTGAAACACAGTAACAGGGTTTCAGCCAGTGAAAGGGGAGAATAAAAGAGAAAGGAGTTGTTCAAGTTAAGGAAATAGCCAACACAGTCACAAAAAATGATGTGGGAGGAAAAGAACAAAAAATACCACCAACACTTCTAGCTTGAGAGAACATCACAGAGGGTGGGGGAGGGGAGAGTTAGGCCCAGGGAGCAAGACCATGTAACCTAGGATGGAGAAAGGATATACAGCACCTCTTCATTTTGTGATAGGTGGGAATTTTTTTTATGCCAATTAAGGACATATTTTTAAATGTTTCTTGCCCTGGCTGGTGCAGCTCAGTAGGTTGAGCACGGGCCTGCAAACTAAAAGCTTGCTGGTTTGATTCCCAGTCAGGGCACATGCCTAGGTTGTAGGCCAGGTCCCCAGTGAGGGACTCATGAGAGGCAACCACACACAGTGATGTTTCTCTCCCTTTCCTTCTCCTTCCCTTCCCCTCTCTCTAAAATTAAATAAATAAAACCTTTAAAAAAAAAAAAAGATGTCTCTTTAAAACACTCAGCCACGCTCATGACTAGCCCGGAAATAAGCAACTATAAAATATCCACATCGTAATTTTTACCTAGTCAGTAAACCTAGACGTGGGCCATTTCTGAACCCCCTTCACTACACGCCACAAGCAGGAAACCCTTCTCTTCCCTTTCCACACTCCCAAGTGCAAGTTTTCTGTTCCTGAAGCATAATAGTAAAGAAAGGAAATAACACGATAATAGTGTCTCTCCCCACCACCACCCAAAGTAGCAATAATAAAGAAAATAAGTGCTGTACTATATTAAGCAGGCTTCAAAAAGCCTATAGTCCCAGGAACCTAACACTCTCCCTACTTCATCTAACTCCAACTCACCCATTACTCCGTGCCTCATCAGCTCCATCTGAATGCATTTTGCACTGTTATAAACTACTGTAATAAATACAATTACGCTCATAATGGATCACCGTAGCTTGCCCTTACAGTGCCTTTGGAACCAGAAAGGAAACTAAAGTAAACAAAACCCTGCGGTAACAGCTTTCCTCAGGCCCAGTCTCACACCTTCACCATTTACACATACAGTGGGAATTATAGCTGAACGCAGGCTGAAGTCATGCTAGAAGGATACTGAATGCCAAGATATTAAGCTGACACGTTAATTCAGCTGGTAATAAGGAATAGCTGAAGGTACCCCACGGGAGACTGACACAATCAGAGCCATGCTGCTGGAAGACTGCGCTTACCACCCACGTAGGATGGTACATGGAATCAGGGAAAACGGGTGAGCAGGCTCTGGTGCCAACCCAGGAAAGCAGACTGAGGATCCCAATTCTAACAGTGACAACAGAAAAAGAAAAAGAATGAATAACCTGAATAGGACAAGGGTAAAAAGAAAACCTGCAGGAGTTGCCACTCGTTTGCATCGAATTATCTGGATCAACAGTCCCCAATCTTTTTGGCACCAGAGACCACCAGTTTCCTGGAAGACAGAACGGTTCCGAGAGACAGATGGACAGGAGGCAGGGCTCAGGTGAGCTTGCTCACGGCCACGTTCCTAAAAGGCCACGGACCCTGGTGTAGATGATGTGATGCACAGACCAGAAAGCCCAGCGAGGAGATCCAGGAGGTCTAGAGCGCGGGAGTGGGTGTGACCCGGACAGCACTTTCAGGAATCATCCGCAGAGAAGTGACAGGTGAGTCCTAGAAGCCAACCTCACCAAAACAGAGAATTCTAAGAATTAAACCTTAGAAAACAGTCACATAGAGAAGGGCACAAAGGCTGGAGAGGGTGGGAAGGCAGAAGCCTTACGGAAAGACAGGACAGGAGAACCAGCTAATTAAAGAGTATCTCAAAAGAAAGCATTTCAAAGAGATTTATTATCACAAAATCAAAATACAGAATAGCCATGAGATGTGAGAAGTTACTAGCAACTTTTAACAGTATGAAAACTGGATTTCAGGATGTTAAAAAAGCAAGAACAGGTATAGAACATTATTTTTAATGTGGCAATAAGAAGAAGAGAATGAAATTTTTCACTTTATATGGAAAAAGTATAATTAGTTAATGGTTAATAATACAGCAACCATACTGTTTTTAATTACCTTATCACTTACAAAGTAAATCTTAAGAGTCATTACATCAAATCCCCAGAAAATAATAAGAACCTTAAACATCTAATAATGACCCTAAGAATTCCCTTTAAGATGTAAAAATCTAAAAATAGATTTCAATATTGAGAGCAAGGGCTTAATAGCATCACAAAAGAAATTTCCATAATAGTATGTGGTCTGTGGTTATTTAACAACACATAGTCCTGAACATTTTTTGTTACTATTAGAACCCCCTATTCAACAAAAGCAAAAAATACACATAAAAAATAAAAGCATGTAAATGCCTTTTACATTAAATGCAAATCCTATCAAACTCTAGACAGCTACAGTTAATTTCCCTTTAGATTTACAAATCAAATTCCTAATAAAATAGTTTTACACAAAAAACTCTTAATTTCATTTAACAGCATTTATCATGAACGAATCAGAATAGGAGTTTGCATTTGCTCTTTGAATTTACATTATTCTTGGAAAGTAGACTAATGTATGGATACTTAAAAAAATCCACCACGCCTAGTCTCAGATGTATCTGGGTATGTATGATTTCCAGAAACTGTGCGGCTGCAGCAAATCAGGTTTGAGTTGTGGCATTACTAGCAGGAAATCATAGTGCTTATTTCAAAAAATTACCAACAATATTTTTGTTCTGCTGGGAGAAGACACAGCTCACTTTTAACAACACTAAGGGGCATGTTGAAAAAGTAAATGTGAAAAGACGAGGGGAAAAAAATCTCTCAAGGGATGCTGGTTTTCCTAAGTTCTGTTTCACGGGGTGTTAGTTACAGGGTGTTAGTTACAGGGATGAGATCAGTTTGTGAAGGTCACTGACCTAAAAATAAACACTTAGGATCTGTGCACTCTTCTGTACATATGTGATTGTTCAATAAAATGTTTTTTTTTAACCAGTCAAATTTTCTATGGTAGTGAAGAAATTACCTGTTGTCATGGATCCATAACATGGCAATATTAACAACCCGTCTAGTGTGGTGTCTTGAACATCATAATCGTAATCCACAGACTCTGCCATCTGAAAAAGTAACTCACAACTTTTTTCGATTTCAAACTGACCTGAAACAAGGGGGGAAATAATGTCAGCAACTGAACAGCAAAATTAATTTTAAGAGTGAAAAAAAGGCCTTCTAAATCAAAATCAGTTTTGCAATAGTTATTTTAAAACTCCCATTTTGATCTAAAGGAGATGAAGACATAATTTGTACCAAATCTCAACAATAAAACAAAAAATAAAAGAAACACCAGTTTCTAAGGAATTTAAATCTCTAAAGGAATCAACATGTTTATAATATAATCTTTAAGCCTTTCATCTTGTTAACACGGTATTTTAAGAAGATCCAGTAAAGTTCATCCTTAACATAGGGAAGTCTAATCCAGGAGATACTGCATTTAGGTGTAATACTTAAGTAACCTCAAAAAGGCAGATTATTACAATATCTCACTTCTGACATCCTTACAAGACAGAGTAGGAAGTAAGCTATGAAATGACTCACTTCTGTTCATAGGATGCCGCTACTTGAAGAATCACATTAATCTAGGATGTAACTATTCTATTTTTGACCTGTAAAGAAGGCTCATCTATGAGACATGGATTCCACACCTTATGTACTGCTATCATAAGTACCATTCCACCACGCAAAGAAGAAAGGAGCTGGCAGAATGTCCCCTGCAATAATGGAATTAATCATTCTGATTCAGGACTAGTATGGTAACTCCTCTATGTAAGACAGACTAATAAAAACATGAATAATTTAGCATTTAATATCTTCCTATTAAAGGCCAGTGTGTTTTACATGTTTACTAATAACACTGGTGTTTTTAACGGCAATACAGAATTACCTTATATAAGATATAAAATCTAAAACTATTTAGATCATCATAAAAAGCTAGGGCAACATGAGTAGTACCCAGATTTCCCAAGAAAAAGAACACTTTATCGTGGTGTTACGTCCCTTCTCACCAACAGTATGCTCATTTTAAACCTGATACTGAAATGCTCACCAGTCAGAAAAACCAAGATGTCTCCAGCCATTTCATTCAAATGGATATCCATGGTCACTTTCACAATCTAAAGCAAGAAACACAAGCATAATATGCTAGTGGAAATTCAGACTCCCTCCCACCTCCCACTGTTCCACAGAAAAATTAAATTTGGTTCTCAAAATTCCTAGAACCTGTAAGGTCTGCCAATAATAGGAAACAAGTAAATTATCAAACTATTCAATCAACTAGAACTACAGATTTTAAAAAAAGACAAAAAAGGATGCCAAGTAATACCGCTTGAATATAGGCAGTATTTTCCCGATCTCGTGGGCCAATCAAATTGCAGAATTTTTCTCTGACCGGGTAAAGCCTTCCAGGTATATCAAATATTGGACAATTTCCAAAGAATGCAGAGAGCTTCGCTAATTCCATAGTTGCTGACATCACCACGACCTTTAAATGCTCCTTCCTGTTAGAAGACTTCTCTTGAAATAGCTTCTTCAATAAACCAAATAAGATGTCCTGAAAGAAAAGTAAATTTCTATTAAGTCACAAAAACACATAACCACCAACTCATTTTAAATATTTTACTTTCCTAACCAAAGAATTCCTTTTTCAATTGGTTAAACTGTAAGAGGAGGCAATTCTCTATGCACTAAAAAGCTACCCCAAAGTAAACTGTCTAATAAATAACCAATATATTAAAATACTCACTGTAGTTAGAGTTCTCTCGTGGGCTTCATCCAAAATAATGACACTGAACTTGGTAAGATTTGGATCTCCCAGAATATGTTTCAATAAACATCCATCAGTCATGTATTTGATTGCTGTTTCCTAATGTTCAAAACACAAAGTATATCAACACACACACGTATGTATGTACATATATGTATACAGTTTCACAGAAATTCACTCCTGCTTTGCAAACTAAATTTTCCCCCAAAATGTACACACATTAAGTGCTCAAACTAACCTAACTAAATAAAAGAGTACCTAAAATTGTCTAATAACAATGATGGCAAATTACAAAACTTATGATCTCTACAGAGACAGGTATGCAGCACGAAGGTGCGTGTTCTGGGATAAAGCAACAACAGCAACCAGTTAGGCAGATACAATGAAGTCAGAGAAAACTGCTGAGATAACACAATGATTTCGGGTGAACAAGTTGTGGGAAACAACAATGAAACAGGCTTCGTTTCCCTGTCTCAGCCACTACTTTAGGGGACTCAGGAGAAAAGGTAAAGGAAATGGTTAGGTGTGTAATTTCCTCCCAATTCCCTTCCTGCTCATTCTCCTATTAAAAAATTATTAGTGCCAGATAACTAGTATTAAAGCAAGATGAGAATAAGGTACAAAAGCTAGGAGTTAACAGTATGACATGCATAAAACAATGGAAGAGAATAAGAGAAAAATCCACAGCAGTGACTACTAGGATGGCAAAGACGGTATTTTGGAGAGTCATTCTGAACCACAATTCCATTCCCATTAGGGACCACATGTAGATCAGGGATTATTTTATATCTAGTATAGGATTAAGAAATCCTAAGCAAATGTAAACTACAACTATCAACTATTAAAAAGAAAACAATTTAAAACTTGTTGGTGCCATGAATATAGAAACTGCTCAATACAAAAGACTTTCTCAGACTTTGCTAATTAAGTTGTCAGTTTTCCATCGACTTCAAGAATATAAACATACGACATGGATGAACCTTAAAAACATGCTAAATGGAGTAAGCCAGACAGACACAAGGATGAAATATGGTACGAGACAGGCAAATGCAGAGAGACAGAAAGTCAAACAGCAGAAGGTGCCAGGGCTGGGGCAGGAGGGACGGGGAGTTACTGCATGAGAGACGCAGTCTCTGTCTGGGATGAAAACAGACTTTTGAGGGCGGACAGTGCTGATGGTAGCATACACTGTAAACCTTCTCAGTGCCAGTGAGTCGTACACCTAAAAGCAGTTAAAAGGGTGAATTTTATGTTATGTATATTTCACAATAAAAAGGGTTCTTTTTAAGAATACAAATGTAAGTTATGTGTAGGATCCTTGCAGCTAAAAAAAGAGAGAATCCTAAGAAAAATAAATGTAACTGTAACATAAACCAACTGAGAAGGCAGAAAACAGGTTAAACGCAGAGATTCCAGAGCTAAACCATTAACAATGGGCAACAAAAAAAAATTCTAATCTGAGGCTTTGTTTCGTTAAATATATTAATAGACTTTTGTAGGTATAATCTTTCAAAATTTTCTTTACTCTTTCCATAAGTTTAGAGTAATTACACAAATATTAACAAAACTTTTGTACCTTAGAGCTGCAATCATCGAAACGAACTTGGTATCCTACTTTGGACCCCAAAGTGCATTTCATTTCTTCAGCAACCCTCTGAGCAACCGATATGGCCGCTACTTTTCGTGGCTGAGTCACACCGATCATACCATGTTGTGAAAACCCTACCAAAACCAGAAGTAAAAGACACAAAAATGTCAACAGCTGCTTCCTATTAGAGCTAAATTACTTCTGCTCAATCAATACAAACTGTTCAAGTATTTCCAAAACTCTGCAAATTAACGACATACTACATTACATTTGTATCGTGAAAATTTAAGAATTAAAAGAATACACATTAATAACCGTTCAAAATGTGTGTATGTTAATATGGCTTGGTTTTTTAAAAATCCAATCTAAAAACTTGAAATAGTAACCCATAAATTTTTAATCTCTAGGAACCCATAAAATTCCACATACTTCCTACAATAGATTTACCTTGGTCACAGAAATTTAAATATTCCACCTGACATAGATTCTACAAGCATTTATTTTTTTACATTTTAAGTACCTTTGAAAAGGAGAAGCATCTTACACTTGATGGCAGTTTTCCTTTAATAGTATGTAAACAGTGGTATGTCTTAATCGACAGCATCTTAGGTTTGATGCATAAGAGTAAGTTAATATATAAGCTAAGAAATTTTTGCTATTTTTATATGAATATCCAATATAATTTTGTTCTATACCAACCTTATACTAGAAAGTTTTACAATAATGAAGTGACACTTTAAGGGTAATACATTAGCTGACTTGGTGTTAGCAGAGTCAGGGACTCTACTTACCTGATAATGCTCTGGAGAAAGAATCAATAAATACCAATGTCAGCAACAGATATTAATGTATCCCTTCCCCCCCAAATTATTTCAATACCCAATGGTTAATAGTCTACAGTAAGACAAACTTATCCTATAGCAGAGAATCAGTATCTCCCTATAATGCTATTTGGGATTATTATGGTAACTAAAAAGTAGAAAAGATGCCATCTCAACTAATTCTTGAATCTGAAATAAACCATGAAGAGGAAGGGAAGACGTAGGGAGTGTGTGCCAAGAGAAGAATTGGGGCTGTCAACAAAGGCTGGGCATTTGTGCAACAACGTAAGTCCTATTAGCCTTTAAGAGCATATTTTTTAGATACTCCTCATACTATCCCAGAATAAAATTACCTGCTTCATATAGATATTTTGGCAGTTGAGTTGTTTTACCACTTCCTGTATTTCCAGTAACAATAAGGAATGAATTGTCCCTCACAGCTTGAATAAGCTTTTTTCTTTGTTTTTGAATAGGAAAAGTTGGAGTAGTTCCTCCCTCCTGTGATGTGCATCCTTTCTCTTCTGTAAGGAGAAAAACGATTGTGCAATTAAAAGTTCTGTAAAGCTATCTCTGACTCAATTTCCCAGAACTGAACAGAGAGAGACAATAAAATTTTAGGGTTAGAAAAGATCAACCTATCACTTCTCAATTAAATCACCTAAGTCTAATTTATAAGTGAGGGTTTATAAGCCCAGAACAACTTTTTAGTGAAATCTAACAACTTCAACACTTGCTAATGCATGACTCAAAGTACTTGACAAAGTAAGCCTAGCACAAGGTGATATATATATAAACATACCTATGTAGAAGCACAAAACCCAATTTTATTAAACAAGAGACCGAAAACTGGAACACAGTAGAAACTCTCAGCTGAATTAAAAGCCACCTGTGTTTGCTTCTGATTCATGGTTCAACTTAGGTCCCTGTTCAGAGTGACATATCCCAGAAGGCCAAGTGGTGGGTAACCATGGAAACTGGCTCCTGGAAACTGGCTCCCTCTATACGGTACCCAAAGGCAGGCTGGCGGCCCGACGAGGGCGGGGGAGGGGGGAATAGATGGGTAGAGAACAAAGGCTTTATGAGCCTGTTTAACAGCAGAACACGTCTCGGCGCTGGGGTTCACTTTTTTGTCCCCCAGCAGGGTTTTCCCTCAACTTGGGTCTGGGACCGCCCCCCTCCAGACCAAAGTGGTCACCGGACACAAAGTTCGCCTCTGGCTTGGAGGGCGAGGACAACGCTGCGCCTCCTTCGCACTCTGCTCTGCCTGCCCAAGGCTGACTTTTATTGCCCCCACACACACCCCTGCCGGAACTCTCGCTGGCCTCCAAGGCACCCCGCGAACCGCACCTCTGTCAGCGATGGAAACCGCCGAAGGCCGCTCTTCCTGGGGCTCTCTGGACCGCTCTCCTTCCTCTTGTCGCCGTGGCGCCCTGCCCGCGACAGCGGGAAAGCGGGACATAGACTTGGCCCGCGGCGGAGGTGAGCACGTCCACCGATCCGGGGAGATGGGAGGGGAAAGGCAAAAAAGACGCGCCCTGATGACGTGCAGGTGTTTACTTCCGCGCGTGCGACTGAGAGCGAGCGGAGGGGCAGCTCTCGAATGACGCGTGGCCTGGCGGCCAGAAAGCTCCTCCCCTAGTGGCCAGGGCCACGAGTCAAGGGTTTCCCGCCTTTTGCCGGTGTGCGCTGCTCCTAGGGTGGCGAAGCCATCCCCGAGGGCCTTTTCCTGTGTCTCCTCTGGTGCGTAGAAGAGCCAAGCAACACTGCTTCTCAGCCACAGTGGTCACTGCACGCCTTTTTGCCTTCACATACCTAACGGGATATGACCCTTTGCCGGGAGCTGTAACCTTCCTAGAGTGCAGCTCTACACAATATATCGGAGCCCCACAATACACTGGCGCCTTGCTCATCCTGAAATAACCTGTTCGAGGCACCGAGCTGCAGAGCGTCTAATTTTGTTGTGTCCAAAACGTGGGCCCCCTACGCTATTTATTTCCTTCATTGGACCCTGCATTTTAATTTATTTACATGTTTATTGTCTTCCCCTTTCCCCCAGATAGACACCGAGGTGGGAACTTTAGAAAACCACGGTACACTCGGAGCCCAGCAAAGTCGTTGAAAGTGGATTGTCAATATTTGTTGGATTTGCTGGATGGAGGAATGAATGATTTGTTGGCAGAAAAATTAAGCTTTTTAAAATTTAATCTTTATTGTATTTTTTCATTACCATTTAGTCCCCTTGTACCCCTCCCCTCACAGCAATCACCACACTGTTGTCCATGTCCATGAGTCCTTTTTCGTTTTTGCTCAATCTCTCCATCCTTAACCTCCCCGCACCAACTGTCATCTGCTCTCCATCTATAGATGAGTCTGTCTCTGTTTTGCTTGCTAAGTTTGTTCATTAGATTCCACATATGAGTAAAATCATATGGTATTTGTCTCTCTCTGTTTTATTTCATTTAGCATAATGTTCTCCAGGTCTATCTACACTGTCACAAAGGGTAAAATTTTCTTCTTTTTTTATGGCCGAGTAGTATTCCATTGCATAAATGTCCCATAGTTGTTTTATCCACTCATCCACTGATGGACACGTGGGCTGCTTCCATATCTTGGTGATTATAAATAATGCTGCAGTGAACATAGGGGTGCCTGTGTTCTTTTGAATTAGTGTATTGGGTTCCTTCAGCTGTATTCCCAGAGTAGGACTGCTGGGTCATAAGGGAGTTGCCATTTTTAACTTTTTGAGGTATCTCCACAATACTTTCCACCGTGGCTGCACCAGTCTTAAGCTCACTTTCAACAGGTGTGGATTTTTTTAGGAAACCACAAGATCTGAAATGTTAAACAGATATACAACACTCAGATGGGACTATTTTTCAAAAAAGGTGCTTTGGGGAGCAGACCTTTCTGTTACAGGACTTTCCAATTTTGTAAATAGTGTCAATGTAACAAAGTCAATGCAAAAAGAAGACTGTTTCTTCCACTTTTGGATAGTTTCTGCTGTTACAATTAACCAGCACTGCCAGAGAAGACAGCCCATCAGTGTTGTCTTCAACTTCACCATTAACTACAGGCCAAGCTCTGACCAGGTTTCAGAAGATGTCATTGGACCCCAAGATGTTTCTGTGCTGACTAAAAATGTATTTACAACAACTCCTCATAAAAGGGACTGATTATGTAATAACTGCATACAGTGTCAGGTGGGTATTAGACTTATGAGCGGATAGATTTGTAATTTATGTAAATGTGTAACCACCATGCTGCACACCTGACACCAATACAATTTTTTTCCAAATACAAGCAAAAGTATTTAGAAAGTCAGAGAGGTAGAAGACATGAGCTGTAGAAGAAATGGGTTCAGGGAACAAGTTACAGAGGCGAAAGAAGGGCCTTGGAGCATAGGAGAAAGAGAAAGGTAAAGGCAATGCACTTGGCAGGAAGAAGGGTGGGATGGAGAAGGCGTGGACATGCTCCAAGAGGGAGACAGCACACCCAAAACAACATAATATTGAATGTCAACTATAATTGAAATATTATTCTTTAATATAAAAGTCTTTGCAAAAAACATACATAAATGAATGTATGTAAGTCCCAATAAACTATTTACAGAAGTTAAAAAGGGGGACTAATTAACATCTTCTAAAATGCAAGTTTATCAAATGTTAGCCCTGGCCAGTGTGGTCAGTGGAATGAGCTCCGGCCTGCAAACCAAGAGATCACTGGTTCAGCTCCCTGTCAGGGTGCATGCCTGGGTTGCGGGCCAGGTTCCCCTTCAGGGTGCGTGAGAGGCAATCAACTGCTGTTTCTCTTCTTTGCTTTCTCCCTCCCTTCCCCTCTCTCTGAAAGTAAATAAATAAAATTATTTTTAAAGTTTAAAAAATTTTAAATGACACCAAATGAAGTCCAGCTTTTTAACAACTTTATATCTTCAAAACCTGCATGCTACAGGAATAATCTGAAAATAGGAGAATATTCCAGATTTCTCTCATCCATTAAGGGATTCTCCCAACCTTCTAGATTCAGTTATAAATTGCAAAATATTGCAAAATATCCTAACACATGTCTATTACACACATACTAGAAAAATTTTTCTAAAATATTTCAGAAAAACAAAACAAAAAAAGCAAAAATACATGTGTAGGACAAGCAAGGTATTGGTGAATACAGAGCAAGGTATTTCAGTACCGGGCAGCTCCATCAGTCACCTCCTAAGAAAATGAGCAGAATCATTTCAGTTTGATGATAGTTACCATTTCTGGAGCACTCAGTAGTGAAACATGTAATATAAAATTTTTATTTATTCCTCACAAAAACCCAGATAGGTAGGTGGTTGTTATCCCTAATTTTTGCATGTGAAAATCAAGGCTCACATACTTGTCCTAAACAACAAAACAAAGAGGAAATAAAACCAGGGTTCAAACCACACTAATAAGCACTTGACTGTAATGGGAGATGGAATTATCTCAATCTTAATGCCTAATATAGTATGTTCTTCCAACGTTTGCTAACCAGCTGTTGTAGAATAATTATTCTTGTCTGAGAACCACCTAATGAGAGTATCCAGAAAAAAAGCTGCAAACCAAGAATGAAGAAAAGAAAACATGAAAAATGTAGACATTATTTAACATTGTGAGTTTAAAACCAAGGGCCTTTAAAACACGTTACCATTAATAACCATGTGCTACAGGGGCTACTCCAAACTGAAAGATCAACAATTATTTCCTGCCCAGTGAATTTACAGATTGCAAAGGCAAACAAGATACAAACATAGAGTGGAAATAGAAAATACATGGGTCACATCTGAGAAGAAAGGTCAGCGTTCCCAACAACATTGAATCTATTTCCTGCTTTCGTTGGGTAGCAAGAAAAACCTGAAACAAATTGTATTTAAAGAAGTGTGAGAAGTATGAATTGCACCATGCTGCTATTGCTTCATCAGCAGTCTTTCAAAATGTCCTTGAGTCCAAGTCATCCGTTTCTGAGCACGCAAAAGACAGGAAGGAGGCTCAGTATTAAAAGGTTTACAAAAATGGAAACACATGATTTTTAAATCATCTTCGGGAAAAAAGGGAGCACATAGAACTGCTGTTATAATTTAAGAGAAATAACTGGAGCAAAAGGAAAACAAAGAATTTTAAGAGAATAAAATCCAGGAAGTCAAAAATGTCACAAGTGGTGACATGTGGAGAGTTAATTATAACAGAAGTCATGGAGAGTGAGTAATGGGATTGAAGTACATGGATTTTTTTAATTAATAAATTTGACCAAAATGATGGTTGTTTTGCAAAGAGCAGCAGATAGAAGTCAGATTGTAAATGGATGAGGAGAGAATTAAAGAGCAAATCGAAAATATATTTAGTGCATTTGGAGATGCCTGGTTAGAATCAACTAAGGTAAACAAAAAGGAAAGAAAAGAAGAGCCAGAAAAAGATGCCACAGCTACAGTGTATGTATGATGATTTTAAAGGGCCTGGTCAATGAGATTATTGGGGTACAATTAGAAGGTGTGTTTAGGAGAGTAGAAACACAGAGGTGCTGATGAGGGAGAAAAAACAAGTTCATGTTTTTGAGAACGGATGCAGAACTAGAGGAAGAACAAACTTTTTTGTCAATGTAGGTAGTATAAATCTACATGTGTGTGGCTGATTTGTGTTTCAAAATATGAATCTGATTGTTTCTCTGTATTTCCCTCCCCTATTTCTATCTTACTTGTAAACCAAGGGCCTTTGTTTTCCCCAGCCCTCACCAGAGCAGAAACAGACATCCAGGGCCACTCTCCGCCCAAGGGCGAAGCCCAGATCCTGTGCAAGTTTGAAGAACTGGTGATTTGCTGGGATGGATAAGACGGCACCTAGCGAGAGGCCACAGAAAAGGGAGAATGTAGCAGAAGGAACAAAGAGCCCTTAACATGGGCAGAAGAAAGAGGATTTTTCATTAGGAAGTTCTAATGGAAGGGTTTGAAGAAGATGGGCCATTCTCAAGTGTGGACCACTCATTCCTTAAAAATAAATTTTAAAAAACCCGTGACCCATGTGTCGTTCAGAGGTCCTATGTACACGCAGGCCTGGAAAGAGAGGAAGGGGAGCTTGTATATTCTGGAGGGAATGGGAACATGAAGAAGACCCTCACTCCCTAAACCAGAGAGAACTAGACAGAAGCAATTGGAAATTTTCTGAACAAAGTGGTGGTGGACCCAATTTCACTGTTATACATTCTGTTAACAGGCCTATGGGGTGTTAGCGATTTGGAAGTCGGAGGAAAATAATTAGATGGTCATATAATAGAGTTTAAAGAGGTATCCCCTTATCACTCTAAATGCAAAATACAACAAAATCACCACTCTTTCTTCTCTTTCTTTTTAATCTTATGTTTTAGGTATCCAGATACTGTGTTGAGTTAGTATCACAGTACCACTCACCAAACAGTCATTTCATTCATCAATAATATAATTTAATTAGGGGGTTAGTAAAGGTTAAGACACTCCTAGGCATCATCAATGAAAATTAATGCTTTACACAAATGCATCAAAGTG